ATATATATATATATATATATATATATATATATATATATATATATAAAGTTAATAACATTAATTATCTGAGGAGCAGACTGCTTTGAGTAACCTCCATCGCAGACATCTTGAGCAAGCATGAAGGCAACAGCGGAAAGGAAAAACTCAGTTCAACACAAGATGGTGAACCTCACTCTTTTAAGGTTTCGTTGACTTGTCTTCCCCTATAAAGGCAGATGGAACGTCAGATGGCAGAAGATCTTTGAAAGACAGAGTCTAAAACCAGTCCATCAACCTACAAAAGCTTCAAGAAGGATTGAGATTTTTTTTTTTTTTGAAGGATCCAAGAAGTACTTACTCAATCCTGCTGAAGGATACAGAGGTCAGCCATTGTTAAAACTCCAGTCTGAAAGTCCAGAGGTGTGCTGGATATCTGAACAGACCAGACTCGAGCACAAAGCCTGAAGTTTTCAGGAGGAAGCTGTAATGCACCGTACTTTAAAGATTCTTCAAACTTTGTTGGAATTGATGCCTGAAAATGAAAACATCTTCATGTGAGCAAGATCTATATGTAAATTATTTCTACGAAAAATCAGATTCAATGAAGAGAACAGTCTTCGTGGAACGTGGTGGACCTCAAAACCACCTTAACTGGTGGTTACTTCAGACTTTGCTCTCACTGAAGCTGATGAAGAAACCAAAATCCATTTCTGTTGCAGCTTAACCTTAAGGTGTCCTTTTACCAGTTTATGAAGTCGAGGCATTGTGGTGGAGATTAATGGTGCTTTGCCAACACGATGGGAAGTCGGAGGTGGAAGCTTAACGACCTCTTTGATGTTTCATGATTTGAAGAGCAAGTTATCCGCTGAAGATAATCCTGAGAATTATAAAGAACTGGATCTCTGATGAAGGAGGAACTAGACTAGGTTTTTCACAAGAAGAAAACAGATTTTGATTTGTCAGAACTGAGTGATGGCCCAACAGCAAGAAGACTGACTGACCTTTCTGTTTGGAGTTTACATGTTCTCCCCAATCATGATTTGTTGGTTTTTTTCTCGAGTACTGGTTTCTTCCTCAAAACCAAAATCATGCAGGTGGCTCTAAATTGACCCTAGATGTCTACATGAAGGGTTGTGGATCTCATTTGTTTCTATATAACCCTGTGGTTGACTGAAGACCCGTCCAGTATGTCTCTGGTTCTGTCCACAGGAGACAGACATGTCCCCTTGACCCTGCATGGAAAGATGGGTAAAGATAACGGATGCTGCGAACCTGATTCTGCTATCACATGAAGCTGGAGACTGTTGCGTCAGTCTGGGTTGAAGCGTATTGGAAAAAATATTTCCTTGAGTTATTTACTCAACAATCTGTACCTGAACCGCGTGTTTGCTAAAACTCGACTCGTGTGAATAGAAGATCCAAAGCACGACCATTTTAAAACACAGAGATGTTGAAGTTCAGACGTGACTTGATAAGGCGGCTTGCGTTTTGCCACGTTGAGGAAGTTCTGGATAGAAGAAAACGTTTTTGTTTTTTTTTAATAGCAGAAAGTACATGTTTGAGAAGAGTCATTCGTTCATCCTTTATTTAGACAGGTTAATCCCACTGAGCCTCAAGGACTCATTTACAAGAGAGACGATTTCAACAAAGAGTGATGACAACAATGGACGACAGCGACAACAATAGACAATACTGTCGTACTGGAGGAAAGCGCCGCAGCACATGAAGTCTTTGTCACACGGTGTTTAAAGATGGAATCTGTCGAAGCCGTGGAAATATCACAAGTCTGGCCTAAATACATTGAAGCCATAATCCTGAACCCACATGCTGGGGACAGTCACTTTCATCAGCAGGAGATATGAAAATAAACAGCACTTGATTCAGATGTGACTCGAGAAGAAACGTGCCTTAATCCTTGTTGCTGCCAACTAAATGGACCGAGGCTTTCAGAAGAAAAAAATCTGCAACGTAAACGATATCTGTTATTCCTGAAAGGAGAATTTAACTCGACGTACTGAAGACACGGATGCTGACATTCAATGCTTAGTCAGAAATTTTCACAAGGAAGCAGATTCATATTTCAAGAGCAGTCCTGTCCACTACGAGGAGTATAAGGGACTTGCTGAAGCAACGAAATGTTACCAAGATATCACCTTTTTCAACCTTCTTCAAGATGTGTTCATCTGGAAAAGGAGCTGCTGATAATCCCAAATCCAGTTTAAGATTTAGTGTCAAACCTGAAAAGAATTGTGAACTTTCACCCAAACCTTTAACTCGCCCGGCTGTTAACGTAGGGATGTAATTGTCCTTAAAGCCTCCTAAAGTCTTTGTAACAATCCTTTAAAAGATTCTCACTTGGTAGGAATCAGGTTTCAACACCCTTTTAGTTAGAACAGTTATTGAGAAATTTATTGTGGAGTTTGTGAAAGGTAAGTCTGGTTTGGTATGGTACGTTTTTTTTTAGTCCTTTTTATTCTGTGAAGATGAACCACACTGAGCAGATTTACTGTCCTTTAGGACTTCTTGACATCAGAAGGAAGGGCCAAAAGAATATTGGAATTAGTAACGATTTTGAGTCAAACTTGGCCTCAAAAGGCCAGAAAGCATCAAAACAATCAGCCACAGAGGAGTTTCAGGGCTGGAGTTTATCGAGGTGAAGTCTTCGTTTAATTTCCAGGACGACTGCGTTTCACAGTTGTTACAGTCGCTTTGTGCTACGTTACGCATGATGGAAGACTGAAGATGAGAGGAAAGTCAGAGACCTAAAGACCTAAAGTTTGGAACTGAAGTCCTAAATCATTCCCCATAAACTGAAGTAAAGTTAGAAAAACGACAGAAAGCTGTACTCCACCAGAGGAAATCGCCCAGTGCTGACATTTTTATAAAACAAGCTTAGAGGAGTTAAACTTGTACATAATGTGCGTTAACGAGAACAACTGCTATGATGAGGAGCTTGTCTACATTTAAACCAATTTACTTCTCAATAAGTATTTACAGAAGAAAACGGTTTGGATTGCAGCTCCACGTACCGGTCGGTACCTGACAAACTTTACAATATAAACAAACCGTCCTGACGACTCCTGGACTAATGTCTGCAAGATCCAGGTAACTGTTGGCTTTTTATAGAACGAAAGGAAGCGATGTGGAGGTTTTATTGTAGGAACAGGTGAACACCTGAACGCTGCACGTTCTGTTTAGTCAGTATTTTTTGTAAAGTACTCCGTATTCAGCTTGAGCTTTATTTTGTTTTTAAAATGATGCCATGTAGAAAGCCCTTATTGTTTTTCCAGAGCGTTAAGGTCAGAACTGACTAATGAGAGTTAAGATGTGATCGTAAACCGTCATGGCTGTAAAAGAAATTGAAGCGCTCAGAAGAAGAAAGCTGCTTCTTTGTTCCTCGGTTTTCAACTGTCTGGAGGTGATTGAGTTTCCTGCAGGCTGACGGCGTTGATCTTCCTCCCCTGTAGCTCGCTCTGCTACTCTTCAGACCGGCAGCTGTCCTTCGACCTGGTCAATGTTGGTCGCAAGCGTCTGGACTTCCTGCCCATGCTGGAGCACTCTGGGACATACCGGGAGACCGAAATGCACACCGGGGCCTTCGCCCAGGAGATCATCGCCCTGGTGCACTACGTCAAAGGTGAACGACGCACACACACACACACCTGTCGGCAGGTTGTGGCGGGACAAATCAAACCTGAAACCTGTCGTGATGTGACGTTCTAACGGGCTGATTGAAGCTGCGGTCGGGTTTGTTTTGGTTTGTTCAACTACTGGAAATACTTGAACTTTTAGTGTGCTTTAAACGGTAAAGCTGTGAGGAGTGGAGGAGCTGATGTTTCAGGTCAAACCTCCAAAGGGAGGTTCAGAAGAGTTAAGACGAGGGTCGGGGGATTTATGAGATGGAGCTACAGGAGTGAAATGGGAGGTTTACAGGATGAGACGTGCCGAGATGTTCAGATCTTCATCACGAGAAACCAAAATGTGCAGAATAACAAATGAGTCCATCAGAAGAGTTCTGTCCGTTAACATGAAGATGTAATCAAGATCAGGTTGCTTTCGGACGTTGGTCTACATTACGATCGGATTCTCTTACACCAGAACTTTTTTAAGTCCAGGTCTCACAGTGGAATTTTTTTTGTATTTTACGTTTTTAAGCATCGTTTCATGAAGGTGGACGTGTTCGCGCATTTGCACTACGGACGCGGTCTAGTTATTGTGCACGTGAGGAAATCTTTCACTTTTCAACTTACTGGAGCTTCTGACAAGAAACACGTGCTCAAAGTTCACAGAAACCGAACGGACCTGCGAGGTGAAGAAGGGTCTAAAAGACGTGTCGTTAATATTCACAATCACAGCGCCAACTGGTGACCTGGCATGGACACTACAGCAAGTTCATCTTTTGTTGTCTCGTCTAAACGGTGATTGTGATCAGTGTGACAGTGATCCAAGTTACGTTTTCACAAATCATCGTTTCCACAAGATTCTCAGGGTTTGCAGCGAAACTGCAGGCGTAGCCTGGGGCCAGATGTTTGAGTGACGATGTAATTGCAGGTTGATTTGCTGACCCAGCTGTGCTGTGGCCCATCTGGGATTGGCTGGCCTCTCCTGACTCCTCCCCAGCGGACATTCATCTGCATCGTGGTTGGCTTCGTCACCTCCTGCTCCTCCAACCACAAGAGGCGTGCCTATTTAAACCCAGCTCTCCTGCCGTTCAGCGCGGCTGTTGTTTAGACAGCGCAGCTTGCTATTTTGTATTTGGGACGTCTTTGTTCTTAATTCCTGCTGTTGGACTTGTTTGTTAGTGTTGGTGTAAGTTTCTGAAGACGGAAGGCTTCCTAGTTCAAATCTGTTTTGATTCCATGCAAAATGGATTTAAGGCTAAATGCAATGACTTTAATTATTGAATCCGGTTTGTGCACTTTAGTTTATCAAGAGATTTGTAATATATTTACCACAATTGTTTGATATTAATTTTGTTTTGCCATTGTTAGGAAAATATAATTGTAAAGCATCTTTGGTACTTTGAAAGTACCTTTCTTTTGTTTAATTTTGGTAAACTGACCAAATAAATCATTACTTTAATTCAAAACCATTTTCCACCTGGTTTTAATGTTACCACCCGTTTTCCTGGCTGAGCCGGGTCGTAACACCTACAGAACCTCACGATCTACACAAGGCCAGGCTGATTCTGGCAGATCCTGATCACCCACTTCATGGAGAGTTCGCTTCTATCTGGACGCAGGTATTTGCTGCCCAGATGTTGGACAAACGGAATAGAAAACTAATTCATCCCTGTAGCAATCGAGCTTCTCAACGAACAACGATGATTTCTGTGCAGTAGTCCCTTGTTTATCGTGAGGGATCCAAACCCTGAAGCCGCGCGATAAGTGAAAACCCACGAAGTAGGAATATATAATATTATTAAGGTGTTTTAAACCTTTCCCACTCTTGCAATATTCTAAACCATGTTTGTAAACTAAACGCTCTAAAAGAGCACAGCATGTCATGATCTCAGCGCTCTGCCAACGCTCTTGGCCACGCCCACTTCTCCACTGTAGAGCGGAGATATGACTCACTGCATGAGGAAGCTTCTCCTGCAGCTGTGAGCTGCACATAAGTGCATCAGATGCTAAATAATTTATTTAAATAAAAATTCTGATCACGGGGCTCATGCATCAATCAGCCAGTTGTGTGTCATGTCCAAATTTTTGAAAAACCGTGATGGAGCGAGTGCGAAAAACGAACCGTGAAGTAGCGAGGGACTGCTGTGCTGTTATTTTAACGTCTCAGTGTCTTGTCTAGTATAGATGTTTTTTGTTCCTACTGACTGAAACAAATTGCCCCATGGGGATAATAAAGATTCTTGAACTTGATGTGTAAACTGGGCTTTAGCGAGGTGGGATGAGATGATTTGGACTTGTGTAGTTGAGGTTGGGACTCTTTAGGCTCCTCGGGATTTGATTCGGCTGTTCTCTTCCTCCTCTGGGTAGAAACAAGAACACAGATCTCATCTTTCAGTCTGGGTCAGCCTCGTTCATGAACGGCCCGCTTCTGCACTTCATCTTCATCATCACATCATTATTAAACATTTTCGATCACTTCAGACTTCTTCAGTGACGCGTTGAACAAATGGACAACCACACAGGAGGTTCTGCTGAGGGTTTGTGGGACACAGGAGCATGCTGGGAGATGGAGGCAGATGAGCCACCCCTAAAGGGGTTAGAAGAAAGTGAAGTCCTGCAGGTGGACCTGTCTGTGGTTCTGAACGTGTTCTGTTTACAGATCAGTACTTCAGAGGAAACGGGCTCACTCTGAACCAGCGCTTCTCGGCTCCACAGAAAGGGTTCTCTGAAGAGGAGCTGACCCTGAACCAGAGGTTCAGTTCCAGCAGGTTGGCCACATGACAGACCACTAATCAAAGCTTTGCTGTGTGCACTGATAATCAGATTATTTGTAAAAATCTACCTGGTTGTAATCCAGAGTCTGTTCTCCTGCAGAGGCTTCAGTTTAAACTCCGACTCTCTTCTGGACGACGACGAGGAGTCGCTCTTCTTCAGGCTGGAGTCCATGCAGGTGAGAAATGAATAAAATACACCAGCGTGTTGGAAACGATGGATTGTTTTTCTAATCTGACTGATCGGGACCATCAAAAACAGCCGTCCCGAGGCCCAGGAGACCTGAGGCACGACTTGGAGAGGCGGCGCCAGGAGAAGCTGGAGGCAGTCAAAGTTACGATTTCAGGGAGTGGCATGCCGCAGCGCCCCCGCAGGTGAGACTCAACCAGACCCTCCGGTAGTTTATTCCCCACTGGTCTTAAAACAACCGGACCCTCCGGTAGTTTATTTCACATTGGAGTCATAAAATTAAATTCAGTTTATTTATGTAGCACCATGTCACAGACTAAAACAATAAAATTCTTGATGCAAAATAGTCATTTGCCAAATCCACTACAGTAAGAATTCACATGTAAACCTTCAAAATAAAAGGCATTTTATTAATTCAAAATGTTCCAGATGGGAAAGAAAACATGAAATGTGAAGAAAGAGGAGCTCGTATTTTATTTAAATTTTTTTATTGCAGCCTCACATAAAACTGGTCATTTTGTCAGATTTTTTCAATCAAAAGTTCTGAAGCTCCTCAGCTGGTCTAAAGTTCTAAATCTGTTGCAGCGAGCCCGACTTGATGCCTCCAGCAGAACCTGAAAGATTTTGGACCGGAGAGCAGAACCGGAGACGAGAAGGAAACGTGAGAGCCACAACTTAAAAATTCTTTGGGTGGAGACTAAACGCTGGAATCAAACAGACTTAACTGTTTTCTTCTTCTTCAGCGACCAAGAGGAGCTCCACACCGACCCAACACAGGCCCGGCCTGGTGGAACCGGTACGGAAACCAGAGACCGAACCCTGCAGGTAACCTGGACACCCTTCCAGAACTTAACATTTTTTTTCTGCACAACCTGAAAGGTCCAACTTTCAACACAAAATCTGTTTGTCATAGAATCAGAACTATTAGAACCAACAGAACCATGGAAGCGGTTCTGATCATCGTTGTCGACAAGCTTTGCAAAGAGCCAATTTTATGTTTGAGGAACTTAGTTCCTTAGTTTAGGAACTTAGTCTGTTGGACCTAAAAGTCTTGAAGAGAATCTCACCGGGTTCTGATGAGTTGAGTTCATGAGGCTCCAGAACGTCTCGAATGTTCACGGAGGTTCAAGTTTCTGGTGTCGGACGTCTCGTCGCCTAAAATTTATATTAAAAAACGTCTGAAATCGTCACGAACCTTCTGGACCCGTTTCAATAAGTTTCTGTAAATTCTGGGTCATCAGAACCACGAAGTTAACAAAATCGTGTGCACGGCCAAGAATACTGTGATTTTTATTTATTTACAGTCTGAAATACTTTTCCTCATAATTCAGGTGAACAGTTGCAGCTCGGTGAGACTTGAACAGAACCCGACTCTGTTGGACCCAAAATCTGTTTTAGCTGGAAAGAACAAATCATGTCTGACAATTTGAAGTTTATTCTCAGTTTCTGTGCCATCCATTTTTTTTTTTTTTTTTTCCTTTTTCAAGAAGTATGAATGCAGTTTAGGAAAAATAACGTCGCTTTGCTAAAATGAATTTAGTTAATATTCTTGTGCAGTAACAGGAAGTGATGTAAAAAGGGAACACCACAGACAGAAGAATGTTTCGTTAGTTTTTGAGTCCATCAGATGAATTCAATACAGAGCAGGAAGTTCCCCTTTGATGTCACTTCCTGTTTCACTTTAGCCACAAAGTTCAAATGAAAATGACAATTGTGACAAAATCCTGAAATAATTATTTACACATAAGATGTTTTCTTCCAGAGCTTAAGTTCTGAATCGTTTGTTTTTCTGTATTTTAGGTCCAAACTGGTGACGGAACCGTCCGCTAACAGGAAGTAGTTTGATCTGCGTTCAGACCGGAACACAGAAATAAATTCACGTCCTTCGTTCTTTTAGTTTCTGTTCTTTTAGATAAATGTGAATTTTCCCTGTAGTGAAAACGATCATTAACCCTTTGATTAAAAGTAGATGAAGAACTTGGAGTTCTGGTTTTCTTTCCTGCTGAACCGGTCCCAAGGTCCAGTTCATTTATCTTATGCACTAATCACATTTGGAAATTTTTTCATTTTTTTTTTTTTTTTTCATTTAGCCTTTATTTATCCAGGTTAGTCTCATTGAGCCACGAGAACTCATTTTCATATCCCACAACTTAATCTAGAAGAAAGTTAGTTTTTTCAGTTCCACACACACAAACTTGTTGGTTCTCTCCATCAGATCAGAACAAAGAACCCAGACGGCCCGGTCCAGTGGAGTTAAGATCTTTATTGGAAACCGCAGCCTTCAAACTTCATGGTACATTTTTATTAAGTCGCACAGACAGACGTTCCCAAACTGAAATAATCTGTGTGAGGTTCTACTGGTGGAAACTGTTCTGGAACCACAGAACCACACCCGATGATCAGCTTCTTTACCCAGAGTTTAAAGTGATTCACTGTCGGAACAAGAAGCGCTTCAGAGTTTTACCTTCAGTCAGAGGACCAAAAAAAAAAAACATTGGTGAATCCAGATGTTCTGGTTCTGAATTCTAGAGTATGAAATTAATAAATACATTTTAAAATGATGCATTCGCTGTGAGATGTTTTGCAGTCGTGTTTACAAATGATGGAAATATGTGAATGGGAAAAATAGTAAAGCAAAATGTAAAAAAAAAAGTTTTAAAGATTTTGTTTACGCAGCTTTATAAGAACAATGATCCAGTACTGAGCTCAGAAGGACAAAATCCACCGATGGGATGCGAAGCGGTGTAAACAAACTAGAATAATCTGGATTGGACTGCCAGAGGGTGAGCTTTAATAAAAATTATGATTGGTGTGCAGTCGGCCCACGACATCCCAATCTGAGCATTTGAAGTAAAATCCCACCTCCAGCCTCAGCTCTTTAAATCTGAAAACACAGAAAAGATTGATTTAAACTCAAGTTTGTGCCTCCTGAAGAACCCAAACTAGATCCACTGAGAACGGTTTAAATAAAAACAAGCGGATTAAAGAAACAACTCCATGACGATTCTCCAGATTGCATCGTTTGCTGCAAAACAAAAACATTAATTTTGGTAAATTCTACATTTGGCAGCCAACTGGACGTATGACGCACAAAATTATAAACACTTCAGCAGCATGGCAGCTTCCGTTGGATGGCCCCGCCCCTTTTTGGGATTAACCAAAAAAGAAAACTGATTAAAGTATATGAAAACTAAAGAATCAAACGAAAAAGTTTTAAAGGATTTTACTCGAGTCATTTAAAAATCATTTCTATTTTAAAGTATTTAATATTTTTTTTATTTAGGCTCCACGAGTTAAGATTCAGAGCCTGTCGTTTTATTTATCTCAAAACCTAAAAAACTACAGTCCATTTCACATAAACACATATTTTCATGTTTCATAGAGAAACGCTAAAAAAAATAAAAATTTCTGATCAGCTGCTGAACAACAATTAGCATAAATGCTAACTTAGCATTGAAAATATTAGCATTGTGCTTCTCACTGGAAATTTATACAAAACGATTTTAAATGACTGAACACAGCTGACAACATTTACAGATTATCATTTATCTTACTACAGAAGCTGTGGCAGCTCTGCTGGGACAAACTGCGCCGCCGCAACGTGAACTAACTCGACACAAAGCCGGTTAGCATGCTGTGTAGACATTTAATAAATTAAAATGCCAAAATAAAGCAAAACTACGACGAACGTTAATCCAGACGTAAACATTTTTATGGGGCGCTGCTCTGTCTAGACAGGACAGAACCTGCAGGTTTCAGCGGGAGCTCGAGTTAAGTTTCCCTACCGCTAAGAGCTCGTTCTCACCTGGAAAAGGGGCGGAGCTTGGAGCACAAACATTCTATGGTGCGCCTTTAGTTCTAAAGCAAAACGGCTAAATAAAGCCGACGCCGTCCGACTGCGAGAACTTCTCCAGGTTCTGGACGGTTTCTTTTACGCCGCAGCAGGTCCAGCGTGAAAAGCTTTGCTTGCAGTAAAACCTTACGGCACAGCGGCTAAAAGCTAAAGACTGAAACTCACGTCATCGATGTCGTCGTCGTCGTCCCCGATGTCGTCAAACTGGATCTCGTCGTCATCTCCGGGCCCGAAGGTGTCAGTCTCGTTGATTTTAGCTGCGAGGAGGAAAAGAAATGGAGAAATTTGTACTTTACTGGAGCTGGATAACAAAATGTTAACAATAAAACCCGTTCCTGTTTTGGTGCAGTTTGAATAAAAACAACAACATTCTCAGATTTGATTGAAGAAAAAGACAATTCTTATCTGCGAGATTAAAATCATTTCAGGTCTCCAGAATCTGGTGGGGAACAGATTTGGATACAACACTGCTCTTTAGCCTCAAACCGATTTCATAACAATAAAAACTGCTGATTAAAAATAAGATTTTAAAGAACTAATGTTGAAATTAATATTTGAAATAAAGTCGCCCTCTGCTGTTAAAAGTCTGTAACTGCATGAGTCTCTTCCTGAAAAACTGAAGATGTACGGTTTACCAGGAAGTCCAGAGAAACAAGCGAGTTTCGTTGAGCTCCCGGATCAGATTGAGACCCGACTCACCGTGTTCTGGGAGCTCCCCATAAGCCTTCAAACTGCGAGCCTCGTCGGCGTTGTACTTCAGGATGACGTCGGCTTTGTTGTCCTGAAAAAGACCGTTCCAGATTAAAGAGAGACTAAAACTATACAGAGCTTCTCAGTGGTTCCTAACTCTGGTCCTTGAGGAACACCATCCTGCATGTTTTAGTTGTTCCTCTGCTCCAACACCTGATTCAGTGATTTAATTACGTCCTTAACCAGAAGCCTGTTAATCACACTTTCATTCAAACCAGGTGGGTTGGAGCAGAGGAACAACTAAAACATGCAGGGTGGCGTTCCTCAGGGACCAGGGCTGGGAACCACTGCACAATTTTTTAAATCAACAACTGTCAAGACCGGATCAGGTTCAGATCTTAAAGCAGAAAAAAACATTTTGATTGGAAATTTATTTTCACGTGGAGGGAAGAACGCCCTTTTAGTAAAAGTGCATGGTATACTGTGTATGTGACATTAGCAAAAGTACACAGTACACCGTGTACGTGACCTTAGTAAAAGTACACAGTACACCGTGTACGTGACCTTAGTAAAAGTACACCGTGTACGTGACCTTAGTAAAAGTACACCGTGTACGCAGTGGCGCAAAAAGCGGGTATGCAGCGTATGCAACGCATAGGGGCGCTGCACTGCAGGGGGCGTCAAAACCCTCTGTAGAAAAAATGTTTTTCTAGTAGGCATTTTCTAAATGATCAATAACAGGGGAACAGCACTGATTAGGCGCCCCTCTGCTCCTTCACCTCCCCTCTGCTCCTTCACCTCCCCTCTGCTCCTTCACCTCCCCTCTGCTCCTTCACCTCCCCTCTGCTGCTTCACCTCCCCTCTGCTCCTTCACCTCCCCTCTGCTCCTTCACCTCCCCTCTGCTCCTTCACCTCCCCTCCTATCGCTCTCCCTTCCCACACAGGTGGCTGTGAACACGCCCCTAAGAGAACGCACTCGGCGCGTTTTTTTTTTTTTTTTTTTAATCTTGAACTACCGCTCGTTGTGCACTTGACAACAAGATGGAGCGGCAGAAAAAAAAGCTATCCGGGGCGCAAAACAGAAAAAGGAAGTCACTTGACATTGCAAGCAAAATAGCCATCGAAATGGATGCTTCTCCTAAGTTCAAAGAGAAACGACTTAGGAAGCAAAAGAATTTCCCAGATGACAATTCATGCACTGGTCATCATGAAAAGGAACCCACAAGGCACTTCAGGTGCATGGTTTTCAATGTTATTGTTGACACACTCCTCCAAGAGCTGTCTGAGAGGTTTTCCAATTTTCAACTTGTGTCTGAGAAATTTAAATTCATCACTAAAATGGAGCACATGACAAAAGCTGAGCTGGAGGAATCAGTGACCACATATGCCCTGACCACTTGTGATGTTTCAAGAGATATCATTCAAGAAATATACCCAGCAAGCCGTCTACTGAAGGGTTACAAGGCTCTAGAAAAGATAAATTTCCTAATTCAAGAGGACCTTGATTTGGTATTTCCAAATTTGACAGTAGCCCTTAGAGTATTTTTAACCATGCCTCTGACAGTTGCATCTGCAGAGAGATCATTTAGCAAGCTGAAGCTCATCAAAACATACCTTCGTTCAAATATGAGCAATGATCGCTTGTCCCAGTTAGCAGTGATCTCTATTGAAAACAGTGTGGCACGGTCTATTTCATTTGATGTTATACTTGACAAATGGGCAAATGCAAAGTCACGGAATGTAACAGTTTAAATGTCATAAATGTTAAAACTCTGACATGGACTCCAGGCTGTTAAGATGTCATATTTCCGCTACATAAAATGTTGAGCACTGACTGAGTACCACTACTGTTATATATTTGTACTTTATAAAACTTCTTATTTGTTTATGATTGAAATGATCACCTGATATAATATGTAACATTAAAAAAATCTGTAATATTACTACTGTATTTTCTAAGTGCATGACTAAGCTGTATGAGGCGGAAAGTAAAAAGGAGCGGGTGGGGGGGGGCGCCGATGATGTGTTCGCATCCACCTCAAAAATATGTAGTTGCGCCCCTGCGTGTACGTGATCTTAGTAAAAGTACACAGTACACCGTGTACGTGATCTTAGTAAAAGTACACAGTATACATGGCCTTAGTAAAAGTACACAGTATACATG